CAATTCATGCCCCGTGAAAAGCATTAGTGTGCCTTTTTGCTCGCGACGCTCCAGCAGTCACAATGGCTGACAGAGCAAAATCCTGGCGCAGGGAAAATTTTTTTATTTTCTTTTTTTTATTTTATTTTTATTTTTAATAAATTTATTTTTTTGTTTAGGCTGTTTATTGTAATTTTTAAATTTAATAAAAAAATATTTTTGTTTTATTTCTTTGTTTTTATAGCACAAGCATTTCTTCCTAAATGTTTTTTTGTAATGCAATTAGATTTTCAAATTTGTTATTTATTTATAAATTGAATAAATCTTTTTTACTTACATTTATTTAACTTTAAAAATCTTAACCACCTCCAAGCGGCCTCGAACCTGCTCAGAACCAGAACCAGTAGTCTGCACGTGACGCCACAGCCGACATTTGTAAGAAAAGCAATTAATTGCGTTTTATTTTTGGCTTTGGCAATTCAAAGGCAGATGTCGCTGATCGCCTAAGTTCCTCGAAATTGTCGAACTGGTAGGCACATACTAGTTAATGAACTAGTATTTTTTCTAACTGGTTTGGCTTTTCACTGCAGGGTTCTTAAGATTTTTAAAGTAAAATAAATGTAAGTAAAAATAATTTATTCAATTTATAAATAAATAACCAATTTGATAATCTAATTGCATCGCAAAAAAACATTTAGGAAGAAATGCTTGAGCTATAAAAACAAAGAAATTAAACAAAAATATTTTTTTTTATTAAATTTAAAAATTACAATAAACAGCCTAAACAAATGGTGAATATCACTTCACTATCATCAGACTTCTTTCCGAGACAAGGATTCAAATCTCTATCTTGTCGGTCCGCGGCAGTTGTGACTAGTTGGTCATCAACCAAATCAGCTAACTATCCTTGTTGTAGCGTGTATTAAAAGCTGTTGTAGATGAACTTCGACAACTGTTTCACTAAAGAGCGAAATACACCACACAAGCGGCTTGTCAAACATACTTTTCCCATTTTGCCATAGACCATGCAAACATGAGTCGTTCAAGCACAGAATTCTAGTTTTCTTTCGGTTAACAATGTAAAACATTTTAGTTTTCTACCATTATTCTCCCTTACGTCTTCACTTGGTGAAATTTCAGTTGCAATTGAGGCGATTTTACCATCCACATCGCAAGCGGTTTGATCAACCGTCAACATGGCGGCCAGAAAATCAAAAAAATTTGATTTTTGCTCAAATTTCCCTCAAGCGGTTTGTCAAACCTTCAAACACCCCATAGACAGCACAAATGGCTTGAAGCAAAGGGAAATTTCGCTTGGTTTGTCAAGCCGCTTGTGTTGTGTATTTCGCTCTTTACACATACGCCATTTGGTTTACAGCTATTTTTTACTGCTAGTAGTCTCATGTAAAACCGAAATATATCGGAGGGGTGTGGTAGGTGGCTATCAAAATAATATTTCACGCTCGCCAGGCAATGGGCTTTCGCTAGGTTTCCCCTCAATTCAGTTATTGTACCGCGGGGTAGATATGGCAAAGATTTTTTGCCGATTCGCATTACGGTGTTTACATGAGACGATTTTGAAAGCACTTTTAGGGCGATTAGTTGAATCAGTTCGCTACACCACAAATGATTGTAATTTTTGTTTTGTTAAATTTTAGCAGTGAAAACCAATATAATAAATCTTACACACGTCCTGTGCGGCTGAAGTTTTATTCGAGAAAAAGGAAAAAAATTACATAGTTATTTATCCAGTGACATTCGTACTTTTTACATGGTTGTATTTACAAATGTACATTTGATTATTTAATTCACAATATTCCCACTTAATCAAATGGCAATTGTTTTGTAGGTTTTTGATTTACATACATACACATATTCAAATTCAACTTTTAGTTTACTTACATATTTTTAGACTGATTCAAATATTTAACCCCATTTCAATGGAACAAAAATTATGCTTATCAACAGGCACAGCCTTTGTGAGGTTATCTGCTATCATTTTATCGGTACTGATTTTACAAATTTTTACTACGTCGTTTTGTATTAGATCCCTGATATAATGGTGTCGGATGTCTATGTGTTTGGTTCTTGCGCTGTAGGCCCCATTCTGTGCTAAGTCGATTGCACCTTTGTTGTCGCAATAAATTAGAAATGAAGATTTGGTTTCGCCATCAATTTCTTTTAACAATTGTGTAAGCCAAATAGATTCTTGACATGCCACTGTTAAAGACATGTATTCTGATTCGGCCGTACTTAGTGCCACAGTGAGCTGTTTTTTACTTAACCAAGATATGGCTCCTCCATACCATAAAAAAACGTAGCCGGAGCACGACCTTCGGTCGCAAGAACTCGATGCCCAATCTGCGTCCGCATATGCACACATCTCCTTTTGCCCTCCGCTCCTACTAAATGTAATTTTACAGTTTAGTGTACCTTTTATATATCGAAGAATACGTTTAATCGCTTTCCAATGCGCGGGCCCTGGATTTTGATTAAATTGACTCACATTGGACACGCTGAATGCAATATCAGGCCGCGTACATTGCGCCAAATATAGAAGACTTCCCACTGCTTCCTGATACGGTGTTGAAGCCATTCGACTGATGTCGTCCTGTGTTTTTGGTGACATATCCTTAGTCAATTTTTGACATGGGTCGCTCGGTAACTTCACGGGTTCACAATTCAGCTTGTTAAATCGTCGTAAAATATATTCAGAGTATTTTTGCTGATCTAGGCTTAAAATACCCTTTTGCTGGTCATATTGAATTCGTATGCCAAGTGCATTCGATGCTACACCAAGGTCTTTCATATGGAAGTTATTCTCAAGTATTGACTTAAGTGTATTTTTCAATGCCGAGTTATTATGGAAAATAAGCAGATCATCTACATATACTGCAACTATTACTGTTGATTCCTCTTTATGGCAAACGTAAATGCACGCATCAGTTTTGCATCGTATGTACCCAGCACTCACTAACACACTGTTTAGCTTTATATTCCATTGTCGGCTCGCCTGTTTCAACCCGTAAATCGATTTATTTAACTTGCAAACACGATTGCTTTTATCGTCATAGCCTTCTGGTTGTTGCATATAAATAATTTCTTTTACTTCTCCATGCAAAAAAGCTGTTACGACGTCCATTTGTTCGATGCAAAAGTTTTTTTTTACTGCCATTGCCATTAATAACCGAATCGATGAGTAGCGAACCACCGGGGAAAACGTCTCTTCGTAGTCGACACCTGGCCTTTGACTGCATCCCTTGGCCACTAAACGCGCTTTGTATCGCAAAATATTACCATCGCAATCAGATTTTAGCTTAAATACCCACTTATTTCGAATTGCTTTGCAGCTACCGGGTAGATCAACCAACTCCCAAGTTTGGTTTTCGAGTAGTGAGGTATACTCGTCATCCATAGCAGCTTTCCACTTTTCCTTGTCTGCTCCAGAAAGTGCATCTTTCACATCATTTGGTTCGTCATTAAGAGTTTTGTCAGCCAAATGCGTTGACTCAAATCGCTCAGTTGCACGTTTTTCTCTCTGTGATCGCCGGATGAATTGCACATCACTGTTGTCGAATGTTGTTTGTGCCGCTTTACTATCGTCACTTGTATATTGCGGAACAAATGTACTATCATTCATGACGCTCTCAGAGTCAACGGAACTATCCAAATCTGCGTTGCTTTGATCACGCCGACAGTCTTGACTATCGCTTTCAGTCGGTAAACCACTAACGATAGTATCATTTATGTCGCACAGGTCCCTAATAACGTTGTAATTTTTTGGATTGGACCTAAAATTCTCATTGAGTACATCAGACTTTGAAACATTACCCACTTCGAAAAACGTTACATCCCTAGCAACAAATACTTTTCCGGTCTTTTTGTCCATTAAGCGATAATCCTTTTCATCCTCACTGTAGCCAACAAACAACGTTTCCGTCGACTTCGCATCGAATTTTTGCCGTTTTTCTTTCGGCACCATCGCCATAGCCAACGAACCAAAAACTTTGAAATGGCTTATATTTGGTTTCTTTCCGCACCAAACTTCCATCGGCGACTTGTGTCCCAGAACTGATGAGGTTGTGTGATTCTTGATATATGCTGCCGTGTTCATGGCTTCCCCCCAAAATTTCTTCGACAAATTTGCATCCGGAAGCATACACCTCGCTTTTTCAGTTAATGTACGAATAGTCCGTTCAGCTAACCCATTTTGTTGTGGCGTATATGGTATGTTCCTTTGGTGTTTTATACCATACCTGTCAAAAAAATTCTCAAACTCTTTGGTAATAAATTCAGTGCCATTATCGCTTCTGAATTTCTTTAGGTGCATGCCAGTTTCATTCTCAACGAGGCTTTTGAATGAACGAAATCGATCGAACGCTTGGTCTTTGCTTTTCAGCATGTAGGTAAATGTACGCCTACTAAAATCATCAACAATAACAAAACAATAGTAGCTACCTCCTATAGATGGACATTCCATTTTGCCAGCTAAATCCGCGTGTAAAATTTCCAACAATTGTTTTGCTCTAGATCCCTCTTTTGGGAAAGATTTACGCGCCTGTTTGCCTTTGCAGCAAGTAACACATGCAATGTTCAATCTATTTCCATCAAAGGAAACACCATGAACACCACCATTTCGCATTTCAATCAAATATGATGGATTTACTTGTCCCAATCTACGATGCCACAGTTCCATTGCATCAGTGCATCCGAACGCAGTAAGAGCGATGTCGCTCCACCCATCCAGTTTGTATAGACCATTAACAAGAGATCCCGTTGCGAGCATTACTCCAGTATTGTCCCGAATCACACAACCTCTGGAATTAAAAGAAACAGTTTTGCCTTTTGCAGTTAATTCACTCACAGATATTAAAGTCGCAGTCAACTTTGGTACACACAGTACATCTCTAATTTCTACCCTAGATGACTTTCCGTTGACATTTAAGTTGTAATTAACTGACCCACTGCATTCTACTTCCATAAACTCGTTATTCGCCGCACGGATTGGTTTTCTCCATATTTCAACCAAATTTTTTTAATCCAACAACCCAATCACTTCTCATGATCATATTTCGCGTTGCTGCTGAGTCGATATACCAATCGCCTTTGTCGAAATTCCCACTCAAAAAGACGGCACTGAACGCTACCGGTCCCTTGTCAGATTTAGTAGTCTTTTGAAAGTTTTTATTAACATTTTTCTTTGATTTATTGGCACAATCCACAAATTTGTGTCCTTTTTGCCTACAAGTGTAACAAACAATGCCGCTTCTTTTGCGAAACGAATTCGCTTTTCTTGTAAAAAATGCCTTTTCACCAGTCGTAGATGCGCGCGTAGATTCTTGTACCAATTTGGTCTTCACATTATCACTTGATAATTTTTTATCGCTTCCCTCCATAGCCATTATCATCGGCATGTAATCATCAGTCAGACCAGACAATAGGAAGATGGCGAGCCATTCGTCTGGTACTTCAAAACCCACTTCATTTAACTTTTGTGCTGTCGAAATTATTTCACTAACATAAACATCCATTGACTCACAACTGTCCAATTTCGTGTTGACAATTTTTCGCGTTAACGTGACACGACGAATAGCCCCTTTGTCTTCGAAAGTCGACTGCAAATTTTCCCAAATCTCCTTTGCCGAAGAAGCCGACTGAATGTGGACAAAAACAACTTTATCGACACTCAATGCAATTGCTGCCTTTGCCTTTGCATTTTTCTTTTCACTCGCCTCAACGCCCGTTAAGCAACCATCCAGATCTTCCAACGCTAAATAATTCTGCATTGAAAATTTCCAAGATGAGTAATTTTCGCGACCCTTGAGTTTTTCTCTTGATGCCAAAATTGATGAAGCCATATTATTGCGCTTTATTAAATCAACTTCAGTTTTAATTATGACGTTGGCGACTTTCGACGTGGCTTGTAGTTTGATCATATATGAAATAACCCCACTTTATGTGTCCACGTGAGACAAAAAATGTCAAAGAGGGTAGAAATTTCTTCAAAAGGCAAAGCGCCAGATTTTTCGTTCAAAAAACTTGATGCGAAATTCTCTGGATCTATCGATTACGGCTTTTTGGGCCCATAACCTTTTGTTTTGTTAAATTTTAGCAGTGAAAACCAATATAATAAATCTTACACACGTCCTGTGCGGCTGAAGTTTTATTCGAGAAGTAGTTATTTATCCATTGACACTCGTACTTTTTACATGGTTGTATTTACAAATGCACATTTGATTATTTAATTCACAATAGTTTTTGGTTCGTTGAACTTTTTAAGTTATTTACAGCTTATACATTTGATTATAAAAAGAAAACAAGTAAGAAAGTCTAAGTTCGGGCGGAGCCGAACATTAAATACCCGGCGCAAGTATTAAATTTATGATTTTCACCTTTCCGCAAGCTGCCGCTACATGTTAAGCCGGGGTGTATCAATTTTGAGTAAGTTAGCGTCCTTAAATTTCGAAATATTGAAATTTAAAGCATTTCTGAAATTTATTGTTATATGAAAAGCGGGCGTAATTTAAGGCCGATTTCAATAATTTTCAACGCTTTGCCTTTATGTGACAAGCACAATAACCATACCGAGTTTGAGACAAATTGGGAGAACGGTTACCGAGATACATATATGTGATCATAAGTGGGCGGTGCCACGCCCATTTTCCAAATTTTTCTCATAAGCGGATTTCTTGGTAAAGAGTTGTTGCAAGCGTCAATTTTGAATAAATTAGCTTTAATATTTACTGATTTATCGAGGATTTCGTATTTTTCTAAACTACCGTTATATGGGATGTGGGCGTGGTTATTGTCCGATTTTAAAAATTTTCGGCCATTTGGTATCCTGTACCAGGACCAACAATTGTGCCAAGTTTGGAAGAAATTGGTGTAGCGGTTACGAAGATATACACATGTAACCATAAGTCGGCGGGGCTACGCCCATTTGCCAAAAATTTTTAATCTTCTTATTTTCCGTCTAAAACTCATTGAAAACATCAATTTTTAGTGAATTATCTTCAGTAGTTACTAAAATATCGCAGTTTTCGTATTTCTGAAAATTACCGTCATATGGGAGGTCGGCGTGGTTATTGTTCGATTTCGCCCATTTTCAATACCATCCGTCCTACGCCCAAAAGAAGTCCACGTACTAAGTTTCGTTAAGATATCTCAATTTTTACTCGAGTTATCGTGTGCACAGACGGACGGACGGACGGACGGACGGACAGACAGTCACCGCTTAATCGATTTCTCTTTTCATTCTGATCATTTATGTATACATTTGTCTATATCTATCTCGATTCGTTTTGCCTGTTACAAACAACCGTTATGTGAACAAAGTTATAATACTCTTGTGCACAAGTGCGCTCGGGTATAAAAAGTGAATGTATCACTATTTACAATTCAAATACTAACCTTAGTAATTAATGGGCATCCACAATTGAAAGATTAAAAAGCGCATTTACTTTTTTGTAACTTGGATTCATAAAGACGACGAAATCTGCATTTAAAATACATTAATGATATTTTCTGAAGTTAGCAAAGCCCTTAAACCGGGCACAGATTGCACGGTAAAAACCGGTTTTTATATGAGGCAGCTTTGCGAACCGTGCAAGGGCTTTGCAAGACTCAGAAAATACCCCTATTGAGCTTGCTCGCTTCGCAGAACAATGGTTAATTGGTGTTCGAAAATAAACGAATTACACTTTTTACTTTTTTTGCAGTGTTTGCTACCTTATTTCAGCTACAAGTATAGAAATATATGAACATATGTAAAATTTGAGTTTTGGCCCAAAAAACCGGTCGCGGAGACCATGGTGCATTGTTAGAAAAAACCTTATCTAATTTATATGTTTGCTCGGTCCAGGGATCGAACTCAGGTCCTTCGGAGTGGTAGTACGCACCTCTAACCACTCAGCCACAACGTCGTTTCGCTTTCAGAAGAAAATAATTAAATGTTTTAATATTTTTATTGAGCTTTGTACCACGATTGTTTATTAGGAAAAATTGAAAAAGCAACAAAGTCTAAGCGGTAGAAGTTATAGCACTATTTCGGAGATCACCACATCTCCTCATCAGACTT